CTGTAGTAGTGAATTTTCGTCATCAAAGTCACGTACTATTACCGACACAGTCCTTCCTTTTCCAGGACTATTTAGACGATCAGAGTACACCATCAAATATCACTCCTAGATTCAAACCAGTTGTACTGTACAAAGCGAGTAGAAATGTTCATGATCAGCATTAATAGTTGTGTTAAAAAAAGGAGCAATACTCGTGGCTGATGTAATTTCATAAGTTTGTAACAATAGTATGAGGAAACTTGGACCTCGGAATTACCTAGCCATGAATTACCCGTTTACGTGTGAGTAGCCTTAAGAACAATTAGGCGCCTCGTAATTATACGAGATTCTATACGAGGTTATATACGAGATTATATACCAGATTGTACAATCGCTCTGACGAAGGGTTAACGCTCGAAACGTCAGCTTTTTACCCTTTACGGTGGCCAATTTACGTTTTCAACTCAGTTGTTAACACTAAATTATATTACCTACTTTACTCTTTCACCGACGCAGCACCACAGTTTCTTTAGAAACTTACCCCCTTTATTCATTATACGAGATTACCTTGCAAGCACTTCTGGATAACACAAGCCTCTTTTTGACAGGGTAATTTTTTATTGCCTGACATTTCATCCGCAGATCTTCACCAATCAACTCGTAAAGTCACCGTGTAAAACGAAGAGAAGGACTTGCCAACCAGCCGCCATATTGATCGAGAACTATACAGAGGATCTGGGAATCAGTCCGCCCTATCCTCCTCGTCCCAGGACTACTCGCACACTGCCACACCGAAAGGCTGATTTAAGATTTCTTCGCAAATGTCTTTCTCATAAAAATGAAGGGCTACAGCCAATGCTGTCATTTATTGATTATTGTGACATAGAACAGAACAAGGCAGTGTGCCAAACCTGTCACTAGACACTCTGTAGTCACTCTTAGCAGCATATGGCAGCCTGCACCCTTCCCTTGCATGTACGCAGTTCAAAGAGATATAAACCTTGGCCAAAAAATTTCTTTCAATTCAGCACACTTAATCCTACGGCATCAACTAACGCTTTTTAATTCAACTTCTTTCTTCCTGTGTTTTTCATGCTACCATGTTCTCACCAAAAGCATAGCTCCATATCTCTGTACATAAGCCATACACAACCCAAAGTTCCTCAATTTGCACTGAGTGGTCGAATCAACTCAATTTATGAAACTAAATTCCTTTAATTGATTTTGTATGGAATACGGAGACAGGGATGCAAAATTTCATGTTGACAAAGAGACACAGCACAAAACCAAATTTACAGTAAATTTTATTGGGCAACTGAGCAAAGTACAATTTAATCTGTTTCTTTGTCTCCCTTGAAAGTTTTCTTTCCTCCTCTGATTCGGCCAGTACGACGGGCGGCAATAAGACCGACCTTTCTTCCAGCTGATGTATCTCGGCGCACAGTTGAAGGGGTACCAATATGTTGATGGTTACCACCACCGTGAGGATGTTCCACAGGCTGTGGATAAAATGCAAGAAGCGAATAAGAATAACAGCAATAAGTGTTCACTTGCAAGAGTGCTTAAACTTGTCTAAATGGTCATTCAAAAAATTTGACACTGAAAACACAACTATTTGTCTCCTTACATAGTTCGAGCAGACTAAGGAATCAAACACAAAAACCAATCAGGTCTCTTTAGTGAGAGGTATATATCCAGACTATAAATATCACTTTGTATGAATTTCCTACATTGGTTATCAATCAGAACTTGATGAAGGTGGTAAAACTGACACAGAAATTTTAAAAAGCTAGAATTTTGTTGATCCAGTTTGTGCCTAGATGTAGAATTTTTATGCCAAAAGGAAAATATTTCATCCATTATGACTATGCTCCTGGAAAAGTTTCAAGGTGCCCATGAAATGTAAATCCATTCACTCCCATGATCTCTTCAGTAATTCTCTTCACTGTCTTCCATACAATTCTTATGATGTTAGTTCTCAGAATTTGTTGCTGAATTAACCCCTAATTTATATTTTTCTTTTCTTGTCAATAATCTGTTTGATAAACTATTGATATTATGAGGAGAAATTCTGTCTTGGTCACTCATGGGAGCTAAAGAGTAACAGCTGTTATCTTAAAACTCTTAAAAATTTCACAAAAGTCAAGTCATAGAAGTCTAACCATAGTCTTAAGACAAAAGTTGGTAACCAGCAGTACATGAACTCTCCTGAGGTCCTCTGCAAAATACATTTAAAAGAGCGTTTACCACTAAAAGTTACATATACTCACATTCATAGCCACACCCCGGACACGTGGCCAGCAGTTCCTCTTGGCCTTGTACTTATGGTAAGCACGTCCTGCCTTCAGCATAGGTTTGTCAATACGACCACCACCAGCAACAATACCCACCATGGCACGGTTAGCAGAAGGGTAGACTTTCTTGACTCCAGAGGGAAGCTTCACTCTGGTTCTCCTGGTTTCTTGGTTGTGTGATACAACAGTGGCATAGTTTCCTGACGTGCGGGCTAGTTTGCCACGATCTCCTGATTTCTCCTCCACATTGCAGACAATAGTTCCCTCTGGCATGGCACCAATGGGTAAGCAGTTGCCTATTTGTAGAGTAGCTGAAACACACCAAACAACAAAATGCAAAGCAATGAATGTCTTTCAACTTGTACTTTGCTACCATAATACTTTTCCCCCCTTTCTCACTGAAGATTAATTGGTTTTTATTAACCTTTTACCTAACATTGGTAGGCATATTCTTCATACTGTTCTCTATATATTTCCTAAGGTTCTGAAAAGGAGAATTTGTCAAACAATCAAGAGCTTCTTTAGTTGGTGATCATTTCCTTTATTCTTGTGACCATAACAAAATTAAATACTGGTCACACTCAAGAGTTAAATGGTAAAAAGAATCCTACACTTTTAATGAAAATTTAGAAGACACTGCAGCGATTAGAAGCCTTGAGAAGAAAGATAAAAAGGCTAATGAAAGATATAACCAGGCAGTTTTCCCAGCATTTGTTGTCCAGACAGACTTTTTTCACCGCTCATTCCTGCAATTAGTTCTTACATCACTTGAAAAATTCAGGTACTAATTTCTGCATGGACTTAATGACATCCCTTGAATGCACACTGCCTCTAATTTAGTGACTGAATCTAAAGCAGAGAGGGCTATCACATCAAGAATGGAATTTGTTTCCAGCACAGTACATATCTGAACATAATTGAACTCAAATAAATATAATTAATATAATTAAACATAATTATGCCAGATTCATGGCAACAGAATTCTTACCCTTCTTTCCACAGTACACAAACTGCCCTGTGTACATGCCTTCAGTGGCAATAAAAACCTCCTTTCTCTGTTTGTATCGGTATGGATCCCTGAAGCTAACAATAGCCAACGGTGCACCGCGTCCAGGGTCATGGATGATCTCCTTCACAACACCCTTAAGGTAACCATTGCGTTCAGAGTAGTCGAGAGATCTGAGCTTTGCCGCTCCTTTCCTGTGTTTTGTATGGGATTTGAAAATACTCCCAGCACCCTTACGCTGGCCTCTGATAACTCGACCCATACTGTATTTACTGCAATTCAATAACAACATTTATTAAACAAAGCTCATATTTAGGGAATTTGGTTATCTACCACAAAAAAAAAAAAAAAGACAGCAGCCTTCGCTTTAGATAATCCTAGGCAGCAGAAAAGTACTGAGGAATATTTTAAAGATTTTAAGTTTGACTGCATGTCTGTTTCTGCTACCAGCTAGAGACAATACAAATTTAGTTCTGTAAAAAATTATTAAGTTGATGCCTTCAAGTATTAATAATTTGAATACATGCAATGTTTAGTAGGCTTTGTTTTACTTATCAGATAAATGACCCTAAACACTCAAAGCTTAAGAAAATTGTCTTGATAAGGATTCTGCCAATCCCTCTAGCTAAGCAATCAGAGAAATCTGTTGCAACAGCAAAAGAAGAGCATGATAATTTGTAATTTCCAGAATTCAATGCTTTGAGTAGGTCGAAATAAGTACACACATATTGTAGAACACTGAGAGGAACCCAGTACAACATGGTTTGTTCACATGATGTGTTTAGGTCTTTTCTTTACACATCAACATTCAGAAGTCACGATGGAAATAAATCTGTACAGACGTATGTTCCCAAAATAATTAGAATTTAGCGCAAAAAAATTCAATTTTGAAGAAACGTGCAAGAACTGTATGTTTATTTTTTTTTCATGCGATTACTAGTGAAAAATGGAGACCACTGATGGAAGATTATGCCATTGAAAGTTAATCGAACAGGAGTACTTTGGAATGAAACACAAAGCAATCGTCTAATAAAGATTTCCGGGTTTTTCGCTATTTCTAATAGACGATATGTCGCAAAACATCATTATTCCAAAGGGACAGTCATTTTTGTCAGAGCTCCCTTGCTACAAAAACGTAGATTCGTTTAAAAATAACCCTAGGGCTTGATAGAGAAGTTATCCTTATTTTCAGTAAAGGTGTATTACACAACCGATGGCAATTCTAACGGCTTCTGTGGGAACGATTTCCACAAACGTTACAGATAATTCTTACCAATATGGCCACAGATGGCAAAGAGGACAAAATTAAGCGTCAAAGCGAGTCTGTAGGAAAGCTGTTCGTGCCCAAGCCTCTCTCAAGCTTTTTCTTCATTTCTGATTATGAGAAAGTGTCTACACTTAAAACAAAATAAATTTTAGAGCAAGTGGTTTATTTTACGCACTCTCATGTCGTTTAGCAGTAAAAAAAAAACATGGAACTGTGAGTTTTAACTTTTCGTTTTCGTGAGAAAATTAGGCTGAATAAAATACAGTGTCTTTACGAAGTGACATCACGTCACTCCAAAGTCATTGATCACGTGACATTTCGCGCTTAACAAACATGGCGGACTAGTAGTAGTCTTAACTGGAAGTTGTCCTGCAATTTTCTTCCAGTTTTTACTGCGTAGGACGCTGGTTGCGATTTAATTGTGGACATCCTTCATCAAAGTTTAATTTTAAAGTGTTTGTAGACCTCTTGATTGCTTTATTTCTGCATTGGTTGGAGATCTAACCGCAATTTTATTGAATCTCCCGCGTGCCGTAGATCAATGTCTGAACAAAGTGAAACATAATCTTTACAATCATCGTTTAGATTATGTGTTATTTATCATGTCTATGAGCAGCGATGAGGTCAACTTTCTAGTTTACAGATATCTTCAAGAATCAGGTGAGTTTGTAGTTCCCGGTATCAATCAGTCATCTGTATGATAACAAATTTTCGTAAGATTCTACAAAGATTTTGCCGTCATTGGGTGCAATTATTTTGCTTTTATCACATCGAGTGTTATTCCAAGCCCACGTTGTGAACAAAATTTATTCTAATTACTGCTCTTTACGCCCAAAGTAATGAAAATTATTTGAAATATATTCAGCTACTAGATTCTGCTGGTGTTTAGACAGATCGGACCCTCTTTGGAAACTCTTGACAATATTTTCTTTGTTGGAGACCAGCTGCACTGTTCAAACGATACGATTAAATCGAAAAATGATAGAGTTTCGATTGGTCGGTTGCTTTGTGGCTATGATGTTCTCGTTCAAAAATTATCTCTTGCTTAATTTGAAACATCCAGTGTTAGTATAGCTAGTATCCCGAAGAAATAGTAATTAATCCCCATGCGAAAAACTAATTGTTGCTTGAGATTGAGCCTAATATTACGAATTATGGAAATGAGTTAAGACGACACTTAATTATTAGTACCATTTTCAGTTTAACTCTGCATTTTAAAATATCTTACAGATTTTGTACTTGACTTTATTGGAAAAATTTGATTTGATCATGAATTTTACAAGTTAAAAATCCTATATACATGTATTATTGATAAAATGCCAATTTGATCCATCAAGTTAGGGTTATCTTCATGGCAGTATTCAGTTTTATTTTTGTTTTAAGTACTTTAATACATATTGTGTCTGTCTGAATTATGAGAGCAAAGATGATTATTAGTACTAAGAATTAGTATCAGTAGTAATGTCTTTCATGCTATTACTTTTAGTGAGTATTGTAATTATTAGCACTGTAAGTACGGTAATACATGTAAGATTGTAAATAGAAAAGTAAAGTACATGTTTCTGAGAGGGGGGGGGGAGAAGGGTAACCTAAGGCTGACTAGCTCTCTTTTAGGAGAGCAGCACTTAAAGAGTTTTTACGCTATAGAAACAGCAATAAGCAGTGGCAGTGTAGAGCACTTTGCTGGAGTGCCAACTTTACCCTTTTTAACTATAAATTGAGTATGTACCCTTTGTTTCATCATTAGGATTTCAGCATTCTGCTTTTACTTTTGGAGTGGAGAGCCATGTAGACCAATCAAATATTAATGGATCCATTGTACCACCTGGTGCTCTGGTGTCAATCATTCAGAAAGGTGTACAGTATGTTGAGGCGGAGGTGACATTAAATGAGGTGAGCTAAACAAAGCAAACTTGTGATAGAGTTCTTTCTGAGAAGGGTTTTTTTTTTATTGAAAATCTACAAATAACTCCTTTACAAAAGTGTTTTCTTTTTTGCTTTTTTTTATTTGTTGAAAATTTTGGGCAGGATTCTGCATCGCATCTCTAAAGCACTGGTCATTGTACATTATATGTACATGTATATACCAAAAAAATAAAAAGCCTTTGGGGAATATTCCTTTGATCACTTTCTCCTTGTTGGTCTAAATAGAGAAGACTTATATTTCCTTCAATTTTAGTTTGAGATTACCATAGAAAAATACTTTACACTTTGGTAAAACCATCAGGCCTAGAAAAAAGTGCCCTTTAAACCCTTCAATTCCCATTAGTGATCAAGTTAGAATTTCTCCTTACAATATCAACAAAATATCTAGTAGACAACTAACAGGAATAAAGGAAAACATCAATTGGGGATCATAAGTTGATCCAGTACCAAATTTTCCAAACTAACATTATAAGAATTGTATGGCAGACAGTAGGGAGAATCACTTTTGAGATCTGGGAGTAAAAGGGTTAAGAGATGTGTGGGCTTAATATATAGATTTAGCCTAGCCTAAAAGCGGAGCTCGCATTTTTTTTCCCGCATGTCTCAAGGGCACAATGCCTTGCTCTGGCCAGGACTAGAACCCGGGTCGTCCAACTCGGAGCCCAGTGCATTGATCACTGGACTACTGAACAAAGCCATGGTGTTGGTGTGCCAGCGGTACAGTTGACTGTGCATGTTAAAAGTAGCACCTTGTACGGTCATATGGTCA